AAAGTTCCTCCTAAAGTTTCTACTAAAGTTTTTTCTGCTCCTTCCTCTACACAAGTGACTACATTTACTAAAAAGCAGACGACTGGTCCAAAAAGAAAACAAATTAGCTTAGATCGATGCGCTTCTTGTGAAACGAGCGTGCAACACACAAGAAACTGTAGACAGTGAAATCAAATTTCCCAGCACTAGTAAAGGAAATTCATCTGTAACTCCCAACACTGGTCCTACTTCAGAAAAATATAACACCAAAACACAACGAACTTCCACCAATTCGTGGCCAGATGATATCTACACTACATAAATCTGGTGTCCAGTCTTCCTGATTCAAAAAAGTACGAAATTCTGTGCAATCATTGCCATTGGAAACCTGGTTCTGATTTTTCTTTTCCTCCACACGAAAATATTGGTAGACGTTTCCGGTTGGCATGGTTATCACGATTTCCATGGTTGGCTTACTCTGCTGTGGCAAACGGTGGTTTTTGCGTCACTTTTGTTCTTTTTGGCAGTGAAAGCACGCATAATGCAAGCGAGCTCCAACGATTGATGACCAGTGCTCTTCCTCCAAGTGCTTCTGCTGTCCAGAAACTATGTCAGCATGGTGAAAAATCCAATGTTCACGCAACGGCAACTCTCCATGCTGCACGGTTTAAGCGAATGATCGAGAATAAGACCGACTTGATATCGATGTGCAGCTGAACAAACCCACCCCGTAAAAGACCTACGTTGCAACTGAAACGCCAAGATGATTGAGTTCGATGTACAGCCCTAATTGGATATTTTTTGCTACGAAGAACCTGAAATACACAGGAACAGTACGTGCGGTACAGAATTGTGGTTTTATCTAAGTACAGTGATTTTGTAACATTCTAATGTTGTAACGTTCGCTGAAGAACATGGTATGTTGTTTAAATATTTGACTTATTTAGTGCGTTTCGTTATTTGCTGTCTAAAATTGGCGTAATTAATGACGAATTATATGATAGAATTCGATGCTCAGAACTCAGGAAATGGCATTTCCGGGGTTCAAATTTCAAAAATTTTCCGGGGGGGACCCGGACCCCCCTAATTATGCGCGGTCTTGGAGGTCGCCACGGGCAGGGTTTAGGCTGGATCCGCGCCTACTCAGAGTAACATCGCAAACATATTATTCACCTTAGTACACAACACCAACACAGAAAAATTCATATTACTAGAACACATTGGTACTGAAGGAACTAGATACTGTTTCGAAATATCACTTACTCGAACCGTTCTGACCGCGTAGCTCAGTTGAAAGAGCATTGGGCTGGTATTCCAAAGGTCGTAGGTTCGAATCCCACGGTGACCGGGCATATTTTTCAAGCTCGCCCGGTGTGGATATGCACTCAGAGTAAGAAAATAATAAATGAAAACAAACACCTGTCCAGCGTACGAATGAAGACTGAACTAATCTGTATAATTATATGCAAGGAACAACTTATAAACGTATTTTAAAAAGTCTATGATAGTCCAAACTAATTATAATTCAAAAGTCTGCCTAATCCTGCTGGAGTTTGTTAAATGAAAACTAAATGTTTTTGTTGTAACAGAGATCCTGCTCTGTAAATGAACCAGAGTTATGTTTTCTCTTGTCGTTCTTGGACATGAGTACAGAGTACATTCGGTATTTAGTATCGCCAGATGACTGAATCTCCTCTGTGACATAACAAATTCTCGAAGGGGGCTCCCAAGAAGAAGGGGGCTCCCAAGCGAAACTGAAAAGAAAGAGAATAAAACTCGAGTATCTGGAGTGTCATTCGGTTTTTGATGATGATTACCGCAAAAGACACGAACAGACTTGCCACCAAGGACACTAAAAGTTAACAAATTTAATAAAGATCATTTACATTTTCGAGAAAAAACTCGGCATATCGCGTAATTG